GTAGGACACCTAGTTTAAGGCACCTACATGTTTGGGGTTGTCAGGCAGAAATAAGGATTTATAATCCACAAGAAAAGAAATTGGATGCAAGAACAATCAGTGGATATTTCATTGGTTATCCAGAAAAATTAAAAGGGTATATGTTTTATTGTCCTAATCATAATATGAAAATTGTTGAAACTGGAAATTTTCTTCTATGAATTTTAATGTTAATTTAATGATAGTTTTCCATCTTCAATTTTAATTTTAATTTGTCTGCAAGGTCTAATTTTTCTACATTTTTCACAAAATATTTCCAACAATGATAATAATTACAATAATAATAATGATGTGAAGAAATATAGAAACAATAACAATAATTACAATATATAATAATTTTATTTATAATTTTTTAAAGTGAATCATTTATTTTAATTTAAGGTTTGACAACAAGCATTCTCATTATCACAAAATAAAGTTATTCTCAAATGATTAATTTTTAATAGGAAAGAATTTTTTTTCACATTAATATCTATTTGTAAATGTTGATAGTTAAATTATATATAAATACCATACGAGAAATGTTTTATTACAATTATATATATATATATATATTTTTTTTTTTTTCTTCTTCTTCTTCTAATTATTGTTATAAAAATCATAATAAAATTATATTTCTTTACATTGCAATCTTATTCAAGTAATAATTTGAAGTTTTTAATAAAATAAAATATTTTTTTCATGTGTTTAAATTAATTTAAATGTTTTTTTAAATTTAATAGATAATTTTGTCATTATTTAATCTGTCATAACCATCGTTCCTATTTCTTACATAACAAAACATTTTTCTATAATTGATTCATTTTCGTTTTTTTCTCAAATTTCCTTTCTTGGATAGCATGATAGACATATTTTATGTTTTCTTAAAGTATTCGTAACTGCTCGTATACCCTTCATTAATTCCTCCGGCGTCCCTGTCCAAGTTCCATAAATTTCCATAACACCCTATGTACGAAATTCTCTCTTGCAGAAAGATCCCCACGTAACGCTTCATTCAATGGCAAATGTTCGATCAGAAAAAATCTCATTTCCCCACCGTGGGATCAAAACCAAAAAACTCTCGAACCCTCTCCCATCCATGTTCGGTGCACTGCGATCCTAACCCGAATAAATACACCCTCATCTCTAACATAGTCCTAAGTAAAATTGATCCAAATTCTCAGCACCTAATACCGTTTCAAATCCTTCTCGATTGCACCGTCGTAATCGGTGAGGGATTTTGCTCATTCAGTTTTCTCTTCTTTTTCTTCTAGCAGTGTTTCTTTTTTATTTTTCATTTTAGATTAATTTTTTATAGATACATAGAATTTTGTATCTAAAAACATAATCTAACATTAAACGTGTTTTTTGTGACATGCAGGCATGTGTGTTTGAATTTTGAGGTGTTGGTTATCTTTGATTAAAATGAGCAGTATTCAAATTGCTGCAATTAATCATGGGATTAATGTCCCAAAAATATCTCAGTTGAGACACGGTTTTCATTGTGGACCATGTTTACTGCCGATGCGTTTTGACCCTCTCTTTGTGAGTTCTCTGAGCCTTGAACTGAACATTCTTCGGCAATCTCTCCATGTATGTTTCGCCGGTGGACAAGGAATGATGGAAAATAATTGGGTAATGCACCTTTGTTTGTGTTGCACTATAATGTTTTGCTTTCATCATATATTTGTTATGTTTTAAATGTTTAGGTGTATGTTTGTTTGGTTTGTAGTTACTATATAATTTTTAAGACACCTCAACAAAAAGTTTGTGTCTTGTTGCATTGGGTCAAACTAACGTTTTTACATTTCAAACGTAAAACCAAACAATCTAAGTTGTCAAGTTTGTGTTTTTACATGTGAGAATAATTTTTTGTCATTTCTAATGTTGTGTTGTGAAGCATTGGGACCATTATGAGCATGTGTGGGCCTTGGACCTGTCGCAATCAGGTCCATTGGGAAAGCCCACTGACCGCTTCATGCACTCATCTTTCCTTTTTTCCTCCTTATAAACCTCTGCATTTCCGCCGTTCCCTCCTATCTTACCATAACAAAAAGTCCTCCCCCCGCCTCCTTCATCACTCTCACTTTTTCTGTGCTTTTCTCTCTCTCTCTCTCTCGAAATAGAGTAGGTAGGAAAAAAAGGGTCTCAAAATGAAACCAAAAGACGGATTTTTTAAAGGTACTTCTAGTGTGTGTATGAGTTTTCAACTTGTATAATAGAATTTGCATCATACATAGTCGTAGCTCGCAGAGTTAGTTTTGTTGAACCTTTTAATGTGTAATTTATGTTAAAGTTAAAGTTACTAGCTTAGGGTATAAGATAATTATACTGTGACTGACTGAACTATTTACTTTATGGTAAATAGAAGATATTCTTTTAATTTTTTTTTTGTTTACTTTATTTCTCCCCTCTCTACTTTTTATCTAACATAGCTAAAGCTGGTTCCTTCTGCCATTCTTCTCCATTATTCTCTGCACTAATTAAGAGCATGATACTGATACATGATGCAGGTCCCTATAAGGGGTTTCTCATGATGCATGTGAGTAGTAGCAGCAGGAGCAAGGTGAGCCTGGTCAACTACCCTTTGGAAATTGGGAGGTGTGACCAAAAAGAAGCCATTAGTGGCTCTGAAATTGGAGCTGACAATTCTCCTGGAGCAGCAGCAGGTTCATTCTAATCGGGTGCTATCCTATCTGAGCTTTTTACCTTCTCTCTTCACCTTCATCTAATTTCTACCACACTTGTTTCTTTTTCCTTAGAGTCTTCTTGACCTTGTAAGACCTTTTCTTGACCTTGTAAGACCTTTTCTTGGCCTTGTAAGACCTCACACCCTATCTCTTTTCTTTCTTTTTGCTTTTGTGGAAGACCCTATATCAGAATCCACTGATATAGAGTTTCATCTCCTTCTTTCCCCGTTACCACCCAACTCATCTTCTCCTTCCTTGTCTATCCCTCCTGAGCTGTTCCAGTTTTGGCCAACCATGTAACATTTAATTAACATTGAGTGTGTTTGGATGAAGTTTAAAATAGCTTTTCAGAGTTTCTCTACCAAAACAAATTTCTTTGTTTTAGGTAAAGAAGTTTTCAAAAGGTCTTTTAAACATGTATCCAAACATGTTCACTATGATATGTTATGCTATGGATTCAAAGAAATTAAGGACCTTACCTTACGTTGCCTTCAAATGTGCTAGCTATTTGGAGACCATGGATTCCAAAAGTACTAACAATTGTGGTATATTATTTTGTTGTATTTTTGTTTGAGAGAAATCAATGTAGTTTGTGCAGCAGCTAGCATGCTTGGTCGTGGTCCTTAAGGTAAGTTGTGAACCCGCCAATGGTATTTAAAGTTTAATGATACCATTGTTTCCTTTGGATTTAAAGAAAACATTGTTGATCGATGCATATATTTGAAGGTCAGTGGGAGTAAAGTTATATTTTTAATTCTGTATATTGATGATATCTTGCTTGCAACTAATGATCTTGGTCTTCTTCATGAGACTAAGAAGTTTCTCTCTAGTAACTTTGAAATGAAAGATATGGGCGAGGCAAGCTATGTGATAGGAATAGAAATATTCCGAGATAGATCACAAGGACTGTTAGGCTTGTCTCAGAAAGCATATATCAATAAAGTACTAGAGAGATTCAGGATGGAAAAGTGCTCAGCATCGCCCGTTCCAATTCAGAAAGGAGATAAGTTTAGTCTCACTCAATGTCCTAAAAATGACTTGGAACGAAAACAAATGGAAGCAATTCCGTATGCATCAGTTGTTGGGAGTATCATGTATGCTCAGATCTGTACTCGACCAGATATAAGATTAATTGTTAGATTTTAATGTTTACTTATATTATATTTAAGTGATGTGATATTTTATAAAATTTAAAAATAAAATTTTAAAAAATATGTAAATAAAATTTTTATTAATAAAATAAATATTAATTTCTTATAAAAATAAATATAAATTGATAATAGAACTAAAATTTCATATATTTTTTTAAATAAAAAAATTAAACATTTCTATTTTAAAATATAAATATTAAAATTATGGATCGATAAAAGCAGATGGACAAAAAGTGAAATTCAACCTATAATTTTTAAGGGTATTTTGACGAATGGCTAGCATTATGTAAATATTACCCCCAATAAGGTGCGGCTTAATTTGGAAGCAAGGTATGCAGTAAATGTAATGTTTTAGGATATATTTAACAATCAGTTAAGTTGAACTGAATTTTACGCTCACAAACTTTTCTTTTTCTACATTGAAACATATTTTTTTTTTATTAAAAATTTTAAATTGATATCCAAATATACACTTGGGCTTGTTTATATCTGCTTGATTACTTTCCCGAACAATAAATACCTGGTTTACTAAAATTCAGAAGCATTTCTTGCAATAAAAAATAATTAAAAAAAGGAGTCAGTTTTATGCCATGAAAAGCCAAATACCTCGTTATTACAAAAGCGCTAGCAGTAATTAAAAAATTTACACAGTTTTTATTTTATTTTTGTGAGTTATTTGTCTATGTGGAGTTAATGCTGAAATAATGTTGATTCTGTTGAAGACGATACTTGGCTAAAAGCAGTAGGTGTTTTAATTCCCAAACCTGAGAAATTGACGAGTATCAAATATATGTGCGACGCATACAAAAGGAAAGGGTGGAATTAGTGATAAGGTGAACCAAATCTCATTTCCAAAAGGAACCAAATCTCAAAGTACTTTGCCGTGAAGGAGGAAGCTCAGAAACAAAGAGTGTCAATAGAACATATTAGCACAAATCTTATGATAGCTGATCCTTTAACAAAGGGATTACCGCCCAAAACATTTATTGAGCATGTTAAAAATATGGGCATTATTGTTACTAATGATTGTTGAGTATCATGTTTATTTTATATTAAGTGATTGACATTTTGAGCTCATCAATGATATGTTTCTGAGTACCTGTTTTCTATGGTTTTATGCATATTTGTGTTAGAGTAATGTAAACAGGTGTCATCTTGAATAAAGATATAAAGTTGGACCAAGTATGTGCTCCTTATTAATGATCATATTAAGAAGAAGACTTGTTTGTAGTACATGGAAGGGACTATGTCGATTAAACTGATGTACAACCGCCATGACTCAAATTAGTTCATATTTTTAAATATGAAATTATGATGAACCTAATGTATAAAATGATTTAGCGATTTTAATGCGCATTATGTTAATTTAATTAATTTATTTATTTGTCGGTTGTGAGAAATGTCACATGAGTCAAGTGGGAGAATGTAAGATAATTATGTCTCATGTGGGAAATATGTAATATATAAATGGACTAATAAATAAATAATTAAATAATTAAAGACTAAATCATAAATGGGTTTAATGGAGCATTTATGAGAATAAATGTTATTTGATAGAAATAACAATCTTTAGGGATTATAAATATCCACTAATGTGAGACAAGGTCCATGCCCCTGACAGAAAGTATTCTCTCAAACCCTAGTCATCACGAAAGATAGAGAGAGTAGAATTTTTAAATATGAAATTATGATGAACCTAATGTATAAAATGATTTAGCGATTTTAATGCGCATTATGTTAATTTAATTAATTTATTTATTTGTCGGTTGTGAGAAATGTCACATGAGTCAAGTGGGAGAATGTAAGCCCTCGTGACTGCTCCAATGTACAAATATCCACTGTATTATTGGAGTTATCTCTTTCTCTCTCTGAGAAATTCAGAAGCTTTGTGCCCATTTCTTTTCTTTTTAAAAAAGCTGAAAATAATATCCACTGCTCAGCCAGCCTCATATAATATAATAAACAGCAATAAAGCTGGTTACTCTTTATAGTTTTTTTTTACCTCCCCCAACATAATCATAGAGCTTCTCCCAAAATGAGAATTGAATTAGTAAATGCTCAAAGAAGCAAACGAAAACCCAGAATGAAGTAGAGAGAGAAAGAGAGATAATTCCCTGATCTTTCCCTCTCTTGTTGATTCTTCTTTTATGCAAGACAAGTGAGATAAATGTCACGAGCAAGCTCAATTTGGCACTACATGTGTCCTAGAGTCCCATCTCTCCATCCAAAGCATAGGACTCAAAGGCATTAAAGTCACTCTGTCCAATTGAATAATATTGTAGAATCAATGACCATTCTCCTGCTTATAGTACTATGCAACTTGAATTGCAAATGTTCAATTAATTATCTAGTGCATTTAACAAAGTGTGATAACTTTCCAACCAAGTGAGGTGGCTGCAATTTTGATGCTCAAAAGGCTATTTCCCTATCCTCTGTTTATTTGGAAGGGTACTTCAGCCATTCCTTTCATATAGCAGGGCAAGGACAAGCAATTTGGGATAGAATACAACCTGAGCCCATAAGGAATATTAAACCCCCCAATGTTTTTGATGGGGCTGCCAGTCACCTACCCTCCTCAAATAGTGAAGAATAATAATAGGTTGCAAATTACCACTTTCTCCTTGAATTTATTTTGTAGATTAGAAAATGAGTAAATTATATAAACATCCTTTAAGATTTTATGAATTTATTTTTTTTAATTATAGTAGTGATACAAAGTATTTACGTTAGTGACTAATGTCCATAGAAAACTGTGAGTATACAAAGATGGATTTTTTTTTTCTGATATAATTTTATTCCATGTTTAAAATCAAATTTTAAATCTTGAATAACTTATTAAAAGATACAAAATGTTACTATTTGTGTTTAAACAACCGGTTTATTCCAGAGATTTTGTGATATTGCAAACAACTATCTCTTATTTTTTCTATTCCTAAAATAATTTTTAATTGTTTAAAAAGTATTATACTAACATCTTTAGATATTATTGATGCTACTTAATTACGTAAAAAAAAATATTACTATTCAACTCAGGGCTGTAAACGTTATAAAAGTTTTATTTTTTTAAAAAGAAGTAAGAATGACAGTGCAGTTTCACGAGATCTCATTGGATATAACTGTAATTTACTCAAATATTAAATGTCAGCATCACAGTTGTTTTCTTAGGGGTGGGGGATAGAATTTTAACCACATATCAATTCAAGCTGCCTAACATATTGTTTCCATCAATCATGGGCACGTGGTGGCCCAACCTATCAAAATGACTAGCCTAGACAAACATTTTGCTCTGTATACATACTGTATGCAGTATATTCCAAAATGGATGCATAAAATTTAGTGTATGGACATGCATTGTGGTTATGCAAGTACGGGAAAAGAAAGAAACAAAAATTGCGACACATCAACTGGGAAAAGCTTTTGGTTAGAAATTTAATTAAATTCCATACCTTGACTTTAAATCGAAATACACAAGTTACAACCGTAAGTACTGTGGTTTCCGAGGCATTTATGATTGTATCACAGCCACGTTTATCCATAATTAATTTCACCATTTTACTAACTACAATGTTTCCGCGATCGCTTTCATGATTTATAATCACGTTGCATAGTTAAGGTTTAAGTAGACCTAATTGCAATTTGGGTTGGTTTAGCATAACCCACGTTTTGCATAGGTTGCTAGATTTTGTGGTGTTGATTATCTTTGATTAAAATGAGCAGTATTCAAGTTGCCGCAATTAATCATGGGATTAATGTCCCAAATATCTCAGTTGAGACACGAATTCATTGTAGACCATGTTTGTTGTCGTTGCGTTTTGACTCTCTCTTTGTGAGTTCTCTAATTAAGCCTGAGAACTGAACATTTTTCTCAGCAATCTCTCTATGATTGTTTCGCCGCTGGGCAGGGAATGATGGAAAATAATGGGGTAATGCACCTTTGTTTGTGTTGCACTATAATGTTTTGCTTTTATCAGATATTATGTTTTAAATGTTTTATTGTGTGATTGTTTGATTTGTAATTATAATTTTTAAGACACCTCAAACGAAAAGTTTGTCTTGTTGCTTTGGGTCAAACTAATGTTTTTACATGTCAAACGAAAATCAAACACACTTTAAGTGGTCAAGTTTGTGTTGTTACATGTGCGAATTACTTTTTGTCATTACTAATGTTGTGTTGTGAAGCGTTATTGGGGCCATTATGAGCATGTGTAGCAAAGATTCTTTCCACATTTCAAATGCATACTCAACAACAACTAAAATTTGTAAAATGTTTTTATTTCCTGAAATATAAATGTTTACTGAGTATATGAAAATTTGAAAACTTATGAATATTTTTCCACGACTTTATTTTTCTTCTACAGCTAATTTGGTAGGTTAAAGTTACGTTTCTTTTGTTGTATTCAAATGAAATAAAACATTTCAAAATAATGTTTTAGCATACTTATCCAAACAAAAATTTATTACGATGAGAATTGTGATTATTGAAAAAAAATTGATTTTCATAGTTGTTCCAAACATGCTCCTAGGTAGAGAAGTAGCCCAAGTGGGGGGTTAGTTTATTTTTTTCTGAGGCCCTATTTCTTTGCTAAGTTGTTATAAGGGATGGAAATAGAGGGATTAGAGTTGCTTTAATGCTTTTGATGTTGCTAAGCTAACAACGTAGTGAATTGTGTGAGATTCTGTTACTTAATGAAAGATGAATCTATATATAACTTGCATTACAATAAACAACTGGTACCAGGAACACTTTTTGAAGTAGTTAGAATGCATGAGGTTGTTGAGCTATATGCTAAATTTTTGATGATATTTATTTACCTTCTTAGACATGATTGTTTGATTAACAAGGTTGATAGGATTGTGGCATGTCTCATTTGATAACATTGTGCATCTTTTCCAGCATATTTTTGTCATCAATGGGTTAGAACTTAAAAAGCTAGCTAGGGACTGCATCAAGTTTGTGTCTGGTAAAGGACAGGGTGTTCGATTGAAGTGAACCACATACAAATGGATACGATTATACAATAGTATCATTGAGAAGAAGGAAGCTATCAAGAATGGATTGGAGAAAGCATCCACTTGTTGGTCCACCCTGATTTCTTTCGACTCTCCTTAGGCGGCATTACATTAAATCAAATCCACAAGAATAATTTTTCTATGTACCTATTCATATAAACAGTCACTTGGGGCAAAAAGTACATTCAATATCAATTTTTTTTGGCGTACATGTTGCTGAATTTTCACCATATCAGAATGCTAGAGAATCTAAAGTTCTGCAAGAGTCTAAGGAGCTTTACAATGAGTGATTGGGGTTGGTCGTACTTGTCTGTCGAGACTACATTCCTGTCTTTTAGTAGATAGTGTCATGGTTCTAAATTGTAGTTGTAGGCAATGTAGGTATCTGCTGTGGTGTTAAATTATTTTTTAATTTTACTGAACATTAAAGAGAATATTCATATAATAATGAAAATTAATGAAACTTTTTTTATCATAAATTTTCACTCTACACTTTTTTTTTTCCTCCCGAAATGCATCGCTCAATCTCCCAACACATTAATAATCAGACATTAGTTGCCTCTATCTCTTGCTAACATCTCTAGGGATCACACTTATATAAAGTTTGAATCTTGTTTATTTTTTTATGACAAAAAAGAAAGTGGAGTAGAACCATATTTCAATAATATCTAAGCTTGATTTGCAGGATCAAGAGGGTATATAGCTCAGTAATTAGTTAAGCAAAGTGTGTTGAGCAGCAAGAAGGTTTAACTGAGTTAGTTAAGCAAGCGTGTCTAAGTTGTTGTAAATTGGTTGAGCAGTATATGTGAGTGATAAACATTTTTTGTATTTGAGTTTGATTCTCATAAATAAAATTAAAGAAGCTAGATTTGTAGGAAAGATTAGAAATCGATATATTGAGCTACTAGTTCCTTATGGATTATAAGCAATTCCTTGCTACTGGTCTATGAGTTCGATTCGTTTGCATTTCTTATTTTTGTGAAAGGTAATATTATGTTTTATCTTGTTTGCATTTCTTATTTTTGTGAAAGGTAATATTATATTTTATCTTGGGAAAACTTTTCTCCCAATTCGGGCAAGTTAGAATCCCTATCTCTATGGGAATAATTTTTTGGGAAATGTAATATTTCCAAGATATAGTTTATTGAGAATATTATTTTTTAAATAATATATCAAATATGAGAAAAAATATATTTTTAACTTGAAATTCTTGATAAACTAAAACTTTCTCTTTTGCCAAATGCTTCTTGGTGTAACTATGCAATTGTGCAAACTACAACCCATATAACTGAGGTCGTACTTGTGGATGAAGATGTGGGCTTTCTATGAGACCAACCGAGAAAGTTTAGGTCTCATGATCTAAAGCGAACACCTGCTAGTTTAGAATTTGAAGGTAATCTATATTATACAAAAATGAATTGTTTTTTATTAAAAAAAATGTTACATTTTTTTTTAAAAAAAATATCAATCCATTAGTCTCTGTCTCTCTCGTTGAGTAATTAAAAAGTAAAAAAAAAAAAAGTGAAAAGATAATTTGGATTAAATTTTAATTTTAAAGTTAATTTTTTTCTTAAGTAATTAATTAAAAATAATGTTTTTTTATTATCAAAAGGATAAATTATTTCTTTTATCTTTCTATATATAAAAGAATTTCAATACATAATTTCACACAAGTTATTTAAATTTCTGAGTAGCTTCCTCTTGCTAAGGGGCGGAATTATTGCCATTTTAATGTTTATTTACACTTCACATTTTTATATTGTTGTCATCCTAATTTTTTGTATAGATTATCTTTAATTAAGTTTTTTTTAAATAAAATTTAAAATTATTTAAGCTAATTTATTTTATATGACTTTTATAAATTTGAAAATAAATAAAATGAACACAAATAACATGTCTTATAAATTAATATTGTATATAAATCCTACAAAGTAGGAAACACTTTTTATTAAAAATAATTTTTATTTATAAAATATTGAATATATATTTAAAAATAAAACATAATAAATTTAAAATATTGTTGTGCACCGGGGGTTAACACACATATACACATGTCTCTACATTGGTCAGATATTGTTCACTTTGGACTTAACTCTCACGATTTTGCTTTTGGGTACCACCCAAAAAACCTCTTTATCAATGGAGACAATTGTGTGTATATAAACTCATGTCCACCATCTTGTTTGATTGATGTGAGACTTTGCTTGTATCCCAACAAATGTAAAGGAGGAAATTTATTATGTTCTATCTTTTTAGTTTATATAATTTATTTTCTAGTTGAGTTTTGTAATTTTTTGAATTAAATTATTTAATTTATACTATTTGAACTCAAATATATCTCAAAGTTTTAATATATATATATATATATACATATATATATATATATTATTTATTATAATTATAATGATGACACTATATTTAAACTTAGGATCTTTTACATATTATTTTAATTTTCAACCAATAGACTGACCTTAGTAGTTCAAAATTTTATTATATTATAGTATAATGTAATATATTTTATGGATAATTTAAAAATAAAGAATATTCTTTTGATCAAACAAATATTTAAATTATTTTTGCATCCCGAAGGAAATAAAATATAATAGGAGGCCTATTTCACCAAGTTCTTTATGAAATTTCTATTTGGAAGAACCAAGGTTATATATGTAATAGGAGAAACTATGTAATCTCATTCCTACTTTTCTTAACCCTCACATTTACATTTTTTAATACAATACTATGATTTTAAAAATAATCCAAAATCTAAAATAATAAAGAGGTAGAAGAATTTGAGTTGTGAAGGGAAGTGGTGCTTGTAGTATACACTATAGATATAATATGTGTTGATATATTTTGAAAACATGTAGTTATAAGTTATCGTGACACATAATACGTGTTGTTGAATCTCAATCAAAATCAACACAAGAATTGTATGAAGTTATATGTCAAATAGATTTGTATTTACATATATTATATTATAGTGACACTTTTTATATGTCATTGTATGTAACATTTCTTATAGTGCAATAATATATATCGATGTTTTATAAAAATGGAATTGTCCATATATATATATATATGTGTGTGTGTGTGTGTGTGTCATACAAATATCTATTTGGTTTTTGATAACCAAAGTAATAGTGAAAAATATCTATCACTAAAAGTAGTGATTAATCTCAATTAGGAGATCTTGAATGCACATAAGATAAGTATTTCTCTTTTGATATAATCTATTTCATATTTAAAGTTAAGATTCAAATTCTAGATAACTTATTAAAAAAAACATAAAACCACTTCCACTTGTGTAAACTTTGAGATTGGGCAATAAGCATGTTTGAGCCACAAAAAGCTCAATCTATTGAAAATTAATCTCTTAAAAATAAAACTCACACCAGCTCGTTTGGGCCTCGGGTTAGACATACCGAATTCAGGTTAGAATGGGTGAGTTATGTTAGGTTTGGGCTATTTGGACCAAATAATTTTTTTTCCAAAATAAGTTAAGTTTTATTTTATAATTATTATTTTACATTAATGGATAAAATTAAATCTCTTTTTGTATTGGATTGTTTAAATTACATTTTTATAGTCTATAACAAGTGTTTCAAACAATGTGCACAACATGTGCTGCATAGGGATCTTACAAGTCTAGGCTAGCAAAAAAACTAATCTCCCATGAAGAATAAGAAACTCTCATTAACAAGAATCCTCATAGCTACAAACTTGTACATCATCACAATCCAGAATGTCTACTATTAATTAATTAAAGAGAACTATAATTTCACACAATAACAAAGGCTAGTTTTTTTATATTATTAAATTAAAGTGTAACTTTGAGTGAACTTAGAGTGTACACCGACTAAAATTAACTATTTCAATAATAAATTAAATGACTTGATGGCAACCACATGTGTTTGTGAAATAGCCTTACAGGCTTACACATATTTTTATTTTGGTAAATTTCTTTACTAAACTAATTAAAATTTACGATACATAAAGGTACTATCGCTTTTGATTGTCAATTATTGCATGATATAATAATTTATTCTTTTGTATTAATAATTGATGAGGAATGGATATTTCACACATAGTGATCAATCCCTTAGTGAGGAGGATGACCCAGCATGGAGCAGTCGAGTGTACTTGAAGGAACCAAAATAAAAACTATAAGGAAATCAACTTTCAAACAAGGAAAGGACCATATATGGAGCTTTGAAACAATAACGTGACACTAACATCTTAAAATAAATTAACCAAGATAAATAGTACATTCATGGTTCCAAGTTGGACCACCTAATAGTGAAAGCTTATCTTTGTATACTGGGATGATATCGATATCAACTTTCTCTCCAACGTTCAACACCTCCTTTTTTCCAAAATAAAAAACATTTGGGATGGAAAGGGACGAATCTAAGACTTTAAGTTAGTGGGAGTAATTTGTTTTTTTTAAAAAGTTGATGATCATCACTATTTAAGTTAGTGGGAGTAATTTTTTTTTTTTTTTTATAAAAAAGTTAATGATCATCACCATCTTATTTATAAGTAAAAAAACTTAAAATGTCAAAAATAGTTACCAATGAGTTCAATAAATAAATTTATGAGGTACAAAATATAATATTTTTAAACATACGTTGATAGTTTAATTAAAGTAAGGGTTCATCTATCCACCCTAAGTATGATATAGGTCCACCATTGGGCATGGAATTATCTACTACATATATAATTGTATACAATAAAAATATATTTAATTTCATATTTTATTAATTTTCAAAAGAGTCGATGGTGTTTTTGGTGGATTTGTAACTGATGGCAAGTGAATCCAAATATTGGATTCGTGTGAAGACTTTTCCTTTCTCAAAAATAAAAAATGAAGCGCCTAAGTGTGGTAGCAATAACATCTTCCTTGCGACTTTAACTTTATCACTACGCTTCCTTCTCCTCACTCCAACATTTTCCCCCATTTTTTTTCTCATCTTTATTTCTTATTAGTCGCATAGTTCATTGCGTGAGGTAACGTTCAAACTATTGTTGATTTTTCTCAAATCCCAAACCACTAACTCTCTTTTTCTCATGATTGCAAAGGAAGTTTCACTTCAAATCCCTAACCTTTCCCTAATTGACTTGCGTTGTTAAGAGCAAATAAAGTACACGTTGAGTTCTTATCATTATAGTATCTTTATGCATCGTTCACACCGATTGTAGTTCTAGCTCACAACATTCTCTATTGGTAAAGTGATTAAGGTTTAACAAGGTAATTTCATTTGCAATGTAATGCCAAATTATGTTTTCATCTTTAATTTGGTTTATCTTTCTCTCACAGGTTCTTTGTATTTGACCTTATTCCATCGTAGAGCACCATTGTAAGCATTGCTTTTTTCTCCCTAAGTTGCCTTCTTCAGTCTTAGATAAATCTACCTTTTTGGCTTGTTATTTACTTACAACCTTTGGTTAGTGCTTGAAAATTGGTGTGACAAATTCGTAGGGTTTCTCTTTGGTTGTGATTTTGGTAACAAAAATTGACTTGTAATGATTACTTAATTTGTTTCAATCACATATTGCTCAAGTGTGATTTAATTATGTTATTATTGGTTGAGAATTAAATTTAGTTTTCCTGCATGTGTATATAAGCATTTATTAGTGGAACTGTATGGTCTACGCTTTAGGTTTTTTTTCTTCTTACAAATCTATCACTAGTTGTGATTTGAAATTTTTGGAAGTAGCATGTATAGGAAGTTATGTGTGTAACAAAGGTGGTTGGATGGAAGTGCAGGTGGCCAGCTTCCTACCGTTATAAGATAAAATGCAGTAGCAATGCAACACATATATAAGAAAGGAAATAAAAGATATTGTAATACAATAGTAAGATAAGTTGCAAATAAGCATAGAGTTGCATGGATAGTGCATGAAATGTCACAAGATACAATTAATGAAAACTAGTGCTAGAACCATTCAAATGATTGCATAACTTTTACATATTGAAGACAACATGTGAGAGTTTTTTTTTCCTTTTAGGAACATATAGATGGGCTAGGTTTATTTGAGCTCATGGCAACATGTCAAATTTCATTCATTATCGAACAAACCCAAGTTTTGTTATGTATTTGGGGACAATGAAGGTTTTTTTTTTTGCATTTATATGTATCATTGCTATTTTGGGCCTAATTTAGGTGTATTTGCTTCATTGCTTGTCCCTTTCAATAATAATGTTTTGAGCTTCAAATAAATGACTTTTCATTTGGCGTCATAAATGGTCATAAAAAGTTACAACTGTTAAGTCTCAATTATACTTCTTTTTAGATAGGAATTATTCAACAATTCCACTCATCTCATGCACTCTTGCAATATAATTGTTTTCTTTTGATTAATTTTTGTGCAGATATAGCTAACCCAAAAATCATCTGACAATACCCTGATACACCTCATTTTTTGTGCAGGTATTGAGTTAAAAAGTTGAAGTTGAAGACCCATTAGATTGGAAATTGAAAGAGCTTAGGAGCAGAAGAAGCATCATTGCGCCGGGTGCAAACTACCCGTGCCAGGCTTGAGAAACACAGAGAGCATCAGCTCTGCACTTCAGCATTGCACCGAGCGCAAGAGCATCCGCGCTGGGCGTGCTTGAAAATAGAGAGCATTCAAAACTCTCTGGAAGACATTGTTCCGGGCACAGAAATATCCATGCCGGGCGTGATTCGAGACAAAGAGTAATTACCTCTCTGGAAGACCCTGTGTCGGGCGCGAGGTATAATGCGTCAGGCGTGTAAACCCTATCCTGTCCCACCCAGCTCGTATTTGATCAAATCTTCGAGGTTCATTCCCTCATTCACACATTGGGCGACTTCTAGGAGCTGTGGAAGGGATTCCCAGTGCTTGGGACCGTTCGTGTGTGGGTCTTTCCTTCGGTTCTTCCATCTTCTCTTCCATCTCTATTTTTGTTTCACCATCATTGTTTTGAGCGGTTTTGCCTATTATTTTGTGGGGTTAGATGTAGCCAACTAAATTTCTTATGTAATCTTCATGTTATCAATGATATATATATATATATATATATATATATATATATACTTCAGGTTATCAATGATATATATATATATATATATGATGTTTCATTCATTGTTGTGTTATGTTTCTATTCTTAATGCTTGCTTTGGATTGATTCTCCTTTGCTTGAAATAGAGTCCATTGGGTATTAAAAAATAACCTTTGAAACTAGCTCTGAAACAAATGCCTAGTGGGAAATGTATCTAGGAATAGAGTTTGGCCCATTAGTAGTCTTAAACCCTAACCTGTAATCTAGGTGTATGTATTAGATACTCAAGGAATTGATATTCATTACCTGCACCTAGGCTCTTGCTCTAAGGGATTAGGTTTGAGTAAACTTATGGGTTGACTAAGCAATGAATGTAACAAGAGAATAAAGATTCATCAGTGTGAAGTTTGGTGATATCTGACCCGAAAACCTTACAAAATCACGATACCATTTCTATCCTTTCCACACACAAAAATAGTTTTATAGTTTTAACATTCCAATAGTCATAACCTTTACTTCAAATTGCATGACAGTCTATGAGAAATTGGAATTATTCTTTAGTCATGAATAGTCATTAAATGCTTGTTTTACCTAACTAGTTCTTGTGGATACGATTTAAATTCACTACTTGTACGGCCGATATACTTACCGTGTTTGAGTTCGTTGAGAGAATTAAAATGATTTATAACAAGAACAAAAGTTAATTTCAACGGAAATCTCAACACTAACATTTTTTCTATAATCAATATATCTAATCTAAGTAGATAAAGACTAATTCCTTTCAAGACATAACCAAAAGTGAGTTTTATCTCTTTTTATATATATATATTTTCATACGCTTGATGAAGAAATTGAATATCTCTCATAATGCTTAAGAAACTTAGTAGTCTACCATGTGTTGGAATTTGTTGATAAACATATTATACTATATTATACACACATCAAAGCATATGGCACTTAGTGCATAATTGCAGATGGAGCTTATAAAGGAATTTGTGCATTACTATTTTTTTCTTAAGATCGGAAAGAATATGGTTGAGATTTTGGTAACATGAAAATATTTTGTATGTCGGTGTCACTATTTTACCTAGAAATTTATGGTGACTAGGTGGACCATAATAGAAGCTAAAAATTCAAAAAAAAAAAAAACTTTTTCCCCTTAAGTCAAAGAATATTTGTAGGATTTTATATTCCTTTCTCGTCCCAAATGGGTGCACAAAATTAATGCCAAAACAACTCCAATTTGGCCACATGCTAATTGGCTCAGGGACACATACGGGTTGCTATACACCTTTCAAGCCACCATTTATCCTTATGTTATGCATTATTGGTTTCTTTGGTTGTGCACAATTTATCATCTAAAGTCACTTCTTGGATCAATTCAAAATGGTACCTTGCCTCTCCACCTTATTTTTTCACTCAACATCATAACATGTTTATGTGTTATATTTTCTCAGCTTCTATTTCACATCTGTATCATTGCGTGTCTCATAGTTTTGAAGTGATTCCTTGTCATGGGTCATATCAACCCACATCCCACCCAATTAATAGCCACAAATATTTGCTATTGCAAGTGGCACGTTTTCAAAGTCTTTATAGAAAGTTCAAGGGCTCCACACATTCATTTTGGATGTGAAAGTGAATGCCTTACCAAACCATAACTAGGGTCTACACTTTGAATTATGTGTTTTTTCATGATAAAGCTACTCAAACGTACCACACTTATTTATTTCATTGAGTAAGTTTTGTAACACTGGCCTTTATGGGAAGCCTTTTGACATGATGCATTTTTTTAATATAGATAACAAGTATCCTCTATTGGAGGATTGATAATTTTGTTTGAGTTGAGTAGGATTACTATAGACAACAAAACTATTCATTTGAATATTTAGTGTAGCTACCTATTTAGTACTCTAACTTGAAATCATTAGTTAAGCTATAACAACTATATCAGTTGATTGACACGTCCAATGCTTCTTAACATGATGCATTTGAATGGAAGTAAATCTACTTATAATATATGGACTAGGAGGTGGAGAAGAGAAAGGGAAAGATTAAGATCAAGATTGTATCATCAACAAAATATTTAACATATGTAGGGTACTGAAAATTTGGCTTTTGCAATCTTTAGCTAGCTAAAGTTTATGGGATGTTCAAGGTGAGAAGAGAATAAAAGGACAAGTAGTGGTCCAAAGACAAAATATAGAGCCAAACCTTATTGGCCACTATGTATAATGTGTTAGGTCAAAAGACAATCTTAGATCCCCCTCTAAATGAAGATTTAGCCTTAAGACTGTATTTTGTTTTTTGACAAGTTCTTGTTTTAATTTGGTTTGTAATGACTTTAATGTTTTGGTGTTATGAATAATTTTAAATTTGGCTTGTTGGATTATTGTAATGGTTTTAATATTTGAATGTTATGAACAATTTCTAATTTGGTTTGATATAGTGTGACTTTGTTTGATACAATAAATGCTTAGGTTTGTGTAATTTTGAAAATTTTCATTGTTTACACATTAAGTATATGTTGAATGAATGAACTACATTATATGGTATTTCTCTTAATTTTTGGACTATATACTCTATTTTTGATGATTTCTAAAGGAGGAGAAATGTATAGATTTGTTTTGTAGGTTGTTATTGCAAGTATTGAAGCAACAAGATTACAATTTGATCTTAAAGGGATTAATCAAAACAAGTGAAAGAAGGATTTATGATAATCAAAAAGGGAGAGTTTATTGATCAAACTCAAGATGAAGACATAGTGTATTTAGTTTTGATAATTACAAATATAAGCATCTTGAAAGATAAGAGTACAAATGGTATCTTGTTGTGTATTTAAGTTTGTTGCTTGTGTGATTTGTACTTTGTAGGTAACTTAGCCTTATATCTCTATCTAGATGATGTTTGATGATGAAAATAAATTTTAAAAATGATTTGAAAAGAGAATTGATATGAAAAATTAAGATATTAAGTTTTCACTTAAAATAATCAATTATTTGCTTTATTTTTCAGTAACTTGAGAAACTTTGTTGTAATAATTGATTCTTTGCTCTATTTTTCAGTAACCATGTAACTTTTAAGTTACTGGGTTTGAGTTTAGAGAGACTTGTCTGTAAAATAATACCTATTGTTTGAGACTGGAGAGGGTTGACCATAAAAGAATACTTGATGTTAAAGCCTAGAGAGGCTTTGTATAAAAATATTACTTGGGTAAATTGCTTGAAGGAGCAATTCAAAGAATGCTTATGGTTAAGCCAGAAGTGATTTGGTAAAGAATACTTGTATCTTAATAAGGTAATGAAACTTAATCTAGTTGGATCAAGAATTTAATGTAGTATCGATGGTTGAACTGATAAAGTATTTATTACGATTACCACTTCACTGTACTACAAAAAAAGTGAGAGTTTTTAAGTAATACTATTCAATTTCCTCTCCTAATATTTATCCTTTTTCCACACCATGCATTTCATTGATTTAGTTGACTCACCTTAATGGATCATGTTAATTAGAGGCATGGACAGGTCCAAAATTTCAACTTGGGAGGGGCCAAAAACAAAAATTCATGATTTAATTTTGAGGGCCATGTATTGCACTACTTTCCTCTAAGGACCAACAAAAAAAAAACCCTGCCTGAACCCTAAAAAAAAAAGGTCCATGTGTCCCCCGACACATGTTCATAGCTAAAAGGACCAAAAATTTGTTCTCAAATTTGCTATAATCTTTTTCTTGTGCGCGTGACTTGCATTTCCAATGCTCACATGTAGTTGCAAGATTATTATCATGCTCTCTTTGACCTTTAATCCCAACTTACATGATACATTTACTAACAAGAAAGTTTGGGTAGTAAAGCGTATATAAGTGCATATATTATATTAATCAAACTATTAATATGGTCACAAAATATAATAAAAGAGAAGTGCTTAATTAAATGGTGCATGGGTAGAACAAGAAAAATAATGTTGCAACTGACTCAATGGACTTTAACAGAAAGCAAAAGGGAGCGTGGGGATACTTGACCCAACCATAGGGTACAAAGACTTTTGGTCAATCAATAAGTACCTATAAAATCCTTCACATTAATTAATTTACTGCTAGCAAAAGTAGTGTAGCCACACAAAGTGTTATTTAATTATCAAGTTAGGTAGCCATGAAATTGGGGAGGGTGTGACAAATTTTAACCTGTTTACCATGTAACTTTGAAGACTGTGTTGCTAGTAAGATTTCCAACTGCCATCACCATTCATACCCTACTTTCCTTGAGCATTTAGAAGTTTCACCTATAGTTTAACATATTTTCTTTCGATTACCTAAAATTCCTTGTTCCTTTCACCCACCATACTTTCCTTTCACAAAATACACGTTTTATTGTTCCCTCCTTTTGGGTTTCTAACTGAGTTCCCAAGTAATTAACCATGTTTACGTATACAAGAAAAAACTACTACAAAACAAACAAACACATGATCTTAAATCTGGTGTGAGAAATCATTAATGGATTCTCAAATCTGTCTCACTGAATATCACATTCTATCAAAAAATTATTTCATGTTTGGAACTCAACTATGTGTAAGCATGTACTGTGACTACAAGATGTGTAGGTCACCCTTCATCTTCAAAGATGCATCTTCATTATTATATTTGTTCTTTTTTTAATAATAAGAGGTATGAACTCTTATGATTGCAATAAAAATTGAATCTAAGTCTTCATACTTCTAAAACTATTTCGATCTATTTTTTCAATTATTAAACTAATGGTGTTGATGTGTGCTTATGAATTTTGGTTAATAATATATTTTCTACGGTAAATGTTTTAAGCATGATATTCATTATTGACTGAGGTTGATTGTAAATTATAAAATTTTATAATTCATATTTTTTTTTAATGATAAATAGTACTTATAACTGTATTATAAAATTTTAAATAATATATTCACAAATGTGTTATTAGATTTTTTTTATTTTATTAACATTTTTTTATTATATTAACATATGACTAACAATATAGAATTATTATCGAATATATTAATCCTTCTCAATTATTTCAACTTAACAAATGTTTTATAGGTATACAAGTTTGTTGAAAACACGAATGAGAGAGAATTTTGTATTGAAATAATAGTTTTGGACGATTTGAGCAAAATTACAACCTATTAAAGATACATGTGACTCAAAAGTAAAATATAGAACCACTTAGCTTGTAGATTGGATAGTAGAGAGCTGTTGTACCTCTCGAGGTAAAGTATTATAAATGCAGCAATATTATAAATTAAGGAACACGTGGTAAGTGGGTTGAGTTGGGTCACGTGGAGTCGGGTTTGGATAAATTTATTATTTGACCTAATAAAAACTTAATGGGTTGGGTTGGGTTAGATTTGTGTAATTTTTTTTAAAAGCCCAATCCAACCAAATCGAATCCAATCTAATCAAAATTTATCGAGTTGGGTTAGATTTGACTCGAACACTTAAAAAATCTGATCCAAATTATTGAGTTAGTTTTGAGTTATTCGTATTCGCTTACACTCTACAATTTTTTACTTATTTTTATAATACTTTATAAATAAAATATTATATAATAAATCATCTAATGTTTAAAAAATATTAAAAAATATATATATTTCTTAACAAAGAAAGCCGTAGAATGTTGTAGAAAATTTTAAAATTATTCTTACAAATTTTGGTAGATAGAACTTTGATGTCTTTAGTAGAAAGATTAAAAACAAACGGTTATTCTTAAATTTAGATAAAATATATAAATTAAAATCATAAAGAATAAAATGCTTAAAAATAGCAAATACTTGAAAAGCTTTAGAAGTAGTAATATGCTATGGTGAATTTCAAGTTACACTCAGAAATTTGGGAGTTTTAGGAAAGCACACGAGAAACATTGGGACACAACAGCCAGCCACATGGCATACACAAAGGCTGAAGACCCTTTTGTCCTCCATGAGTACGGACATGCACCGAATAAAATAATTTCACAATTATTATGATGAATAAAACTTTACGGGTTAATATTTATATTATTTACTGTAATAATAAAAATAATGTTCTTATTCACTCCTCAATGTTCTACACTTTTACACTTTAGCAAAGTTATTGCTTATACAAATGTTTTTAACAAAAGTAACATAATTGCTTAATAATAATGACGTTGAAGAGAGAAACAAAAAATGTTGAAAAGTAACACAACAAAATAATTTCATCTGTTGTTTTCCTATAGAAAACTACATTTTCAACATTTAACATATTTCTTCTTGTCACCTGGGCCCTGATGACGTCACCAGGTCCGTTTAGATCTTTCTGGGCCTTGGACCTGTCGCAATCAGGTCCATTGGGAAAGCCCACCTACCGTTTCATGCACTCATCTTTCCTTTTTTCCTCCTTATAAACCTCTGCATTTCCACCGTTCCCTCCTATCTTACCATAACAAAAAGTCCTCTCCCCCACCTCCTCTCTCACTCTCACTTTTTCTGTGCTTCTCTCTCTTTCTCTCTCGAAATAGAGTAGGTAGGGAAAAAGGGTCTCAAAATGAAACCAAAAGACGCATTTTTTAAAGGTACTTCTAGGGTGTATATGAGTTTTCAACTTGTTTAATAGAATTTGCATCATACATAGTTGTACCTTGCAGAGTTAGTTTTGTTGAACCTTTTAATGTGTAATTTATGTTAAAGTTAAAGTTACTAGCTTAGGGTATAAGATAATTATACTGTGGCTGACTGAACTATTAACTTTATGGTAAATAGAAGATATTCTTTTAATTTTTTTTGTTTACTTTATTTCTCCCCTCTCTACTTTTTATCTAGCTGGCTCCTTCTGCCATTCTTCTCCATTATTCTCTGCACTAATTGAGAGCATGATACTGATACATGATGCAGGTCCCTATAAGGGGTTTCTCATGATGCATGTGAGTAGTAGCAGCAGGAGCAAGGTGAGCATGGTCAACTACCCTTTGGAAATTGGGAGGTGTGACCAAAAAGAAGCCATTAGTGGCTCTGAAATTGGATCTGACAATTCTCCTGGAGAAGCAGCAGGTTCATTTTAATCGGGTGCTATCCTATCTGAGCTTTTTACCTTCTCTCTTCACCTTCATCTAATTTCTACCACACTCGTTTCTTTTTCCTTGGAGTCTTCTTGACCTTGTAAGACCTTTTCTTGACCTTGTAAGACCTCACACCCTATCTCTTTTCTTTCTTTTTGCTTTTGTGGAAGACCCTATATCAGAATCCACTGATATAGTGTTTCATCTCCTTCTTTCCCCGTTACCACCCAACTCATCCTCTGTTTCCTTGTCTATCCCTCCTGAGCTGTTCCAGTTTTGGCCAACCATGCAACATTTAGTTAACATTGAATGTGTTTGGATGAAGTTTAAAATAGCTTTTTAGAGTTTCTTTACCAAAACAAATTTCTTTATTTTAGGTAAAGAATTTTTCAAAAGCTCTTCTAAACATGTATCCAAACATGTTCATTATGATATCTTATGCTATGTTATGATATGGCTTCAAAGAAATTAAGGACCTTACCTTACCTTGCCTTGCCTTCAAATGTGCTAGCTATGTGGAGACCGTGGCTTCCAAAAGTACTAACAATTGGAGCATATTTATTTTGTTGTATTTTTGTTTGAGAGAAATCAATGTAGTGTGTGCAGAAGCTAGCATGCTTGGTCGTGGTCCTTAAGGTAAGTTGTGAAGAGTGGCCATAGTTAATAAATCAATGTTGCTTGTATTGAGAGGAATTGAAAAGCCATATGTATGATATTCTGTTTACACAATCAATTTGGCTTGTATCATTGTGCGCAGAATATTTATGCTGTTGCAGACATCTGTTTCGTTGTTTTATATGTTGTTTGGCTGAGAAAGTGTGCATATTCTTTTAGATCTAAGCTAGAGTCTTCCTCGTGACTGTTCCAATGTACTAATAACCACTGTATTATTGGAGTTATCTCTTTCTCTCTCTGAGAAATTCAGAAGCTTTGTGCCCATTTCTTTTCTTTTTAAAAAAGCTGAAAATAATATCCACTGCTCAGCCAGCCTCATATAATATAATAAACAGCAATCTCCCCATGTTTGTTTCGCCGGTGGACAGGGAATGATGGAAAATAATGGGGTAATGCACCTTTGTTTGTGTTGCACTATAATGTTTTGCTTTTATAAGATATTTGTTATGTTTTAAAGGTTTAAGTGTGTGTTTGTTTGGTTTGTAGTTATAATTTTTAAGACACCTCAGCGGAAAAGTTTGTGTCTTGTTGCTTTGGGTCACACTAAGGTTTTTACACTTCAAACGTAAAACCAAACACACATTAAGTTGTCAAGCTTGTGTTGTTACATGTGAGAATTATTTTTTGTCATTACTAATGTTGTCTTGTGAAGCATTGGGACCATTATGAGCATGTGTGGGAAAGATTCTTTCCCAACATTTCAACCGTATACTTGGAACAACTGAAATTTGTAAAATGTTTTGATTTCCTGAAATATAAATGTTTACAGCGTATTTGAAAATTTGAAAACTAGTTTATGTTTCCACGATTTTATTTTTCTTCTAAAGCTGATTTGGTAGGTTAAAGTTTTATTTTGTTGTCTTCAAATGAAATTAAACATTTCAAAATAATTTTTTAGCATACTTATACAAACAAAAATTCAGTATGATGATAATCGTGATTATTGAAAAAAAAATTGATTTTCGTAGTTGTTCCAAACATGCTCCTAGGTGGAGAAGTGGGGGGTTAGTTTATTTTTTCTGAGGCCTTGTTTCTTTGAATAACTCTCAAGTCATCTTCGTAATAAGAACCTTTGCTAAGTGTGTTATAAGGGATGGAAATAGAGGGATTAGAGTTGCTTTGATGCTTTTGATTTATATTTGTTGTTTCAAATTTTGGATTTGAATTTGAATTATTCTTCAGTTTCTAAATACTAGTAACATAATTAGGATTTTCAGAGGAAATCTCTTTAGGAAGCTATGGGACAATTGAAGGGACAGTCATTTAAAGGATATGTTGCGAGAGCAAATGTAGAAGGGAGGAAGTGGGGGCAGTCCTCCAGGAGGATGACGTGGTAGTGGTGGCGGGGGAAGCACCAGTGGGTCAGATGGGATGTCAGATGAAACTCTTCAAATTGTTTTAGCAACAGTTAGCATTATATTGATGGTAATCTCTCTCTCTCTCTCTCTCTTGTTACATGAATTATGTGTACTATGTATGCTCCAGTGACTCTCCATCCACTTACTCATTAGTCTCAAGATTTCTTTGTTGTGTGAGAAATGAAGGAAAAGCTTGAATTAATGTTGCTAAGCTAACAATGTAGTGAATTGTGTGAGATTATGTTAATTAATGAAACATGAATCTATATATAACTTGCATTACAATAAACAACTGGTACCAGGGACACTTTTTGAAGTATTTAGAATGCATGAGGTTGTTGAGCTATATGCGAAAATTTTTGATATTTTTTTACCTTAGACATGATTGTTTGATTAACAAGGTTGATAGGATTGTGGAATGTCTCATTTGATAACATTGTGCGTCTTTTCCAGTATACTTTTGTCATCGATGGGTTAAAACTTATAAAGCTAGCTAGGAACTGCATCAAGTTTGTGTCTGGTAAAGGCCAGAGTGTTCAATTGAAGCGAGCCACATACAAATGGGTAAGATTATACAATAGTATCATTGTCAAGAATGGATTGGAGAAAGCATCCACATGTTGATTCCACCCTGATTTCTTCCGAGGTCTCCTTAGGCGGCATTACATTAAATCAAATCCACAAGAATAATTTTTTCTATGTACCTATTCATATAAACAGATAGTTGGGGCAAAAAATGCATTCAATATCAATTTTTTTGGCATACATGTTGCTAAATTTTCACCATTTCAAAATGCTAAAGAATCTAAAGTTCAATGTGAATTCAAGAGTCTAAAGAGTTTTACAATGAGTGACTAGGGTTGGTGGTACTTATCTATCGAGACTACATTCCTGTCTTTTAGTGGATAGTGTCATGGTTCTAAATTGCAGTTGTGGGCATTGTGGTTATGTATTTTGATGTTACACTATTGTATGATTTTACTGAACATAAAAGAGGATATTCATATAATAATGAAAATTAATGAAACTTTTTTTTATCATAATTTTCACTCCACACTCCTTTTCTTTTTTTCCCAAAATGCATCACTCAGTCTCCCAACACATTAATCATCCAGCATCGGTTGCCTCTATCTCTTGCCAACATCTTTAGGGATCACACTTATAGAGGTTTAAAGTTTGAATCTTGTTCATATTTTTGGCAAAATTATACTTTTGGCCTTTTATCTTATTTGTTAATTTTTTTTGGTCTTTTTATCTTTTAAAATGTTTATTGTGATCATTTATCTCTTAAATCTGGATTAATTTAGTCTTTTTAAAATCATAATTGTTTTCATTTTTGAGACATAATTTCAAATAAAAAATATTACAAACATGATAATAATTGCTGAAAAATAAGTCAAAAAGGTAATTAAAAATTTTAAAATTATAATTTTAAATTATTTTCTAGTTTATAAGATATTTTTCACACTATTTCATTATGTTATAATTCTTATAGATTCAAACATCAATTTAGTTTTATAGTTTTTATAGTTGAATCTGTTATTACAAATTTTACTTTTCAAATCACTTAAAAATTGATACAAAATTGTGTTGTAAAATTAAAAATTATTGTTGATTTTAAAATGATCAAATTAATCTAAATATAAAGGACCAATATGAATATTTTAGTAGATAAAGGATTAAAATGAATTAAAAAATAAAATAAATGATCAAAAGTATAATTTAACTTATATTTTTTTTTTGCTTAATTGTGTTTTTGATTCCTTAAGTATTGCAATTGTGCAATTTTGATTTTCAAGATTTTAATTGAGTCTTTAAAAGATTGTAATTGTGTGATTTTAGTTCCTTAATTTTTAATTGAATAGTTTTAGTTCCTCAACTATTATAATTGTGCGATTTTAGTCTTTTTTTATTAAAAATTTAGTAATTTTAGAATATATATATATATATATAATATTTTAAAATTATATAATTGTTTGCTTATTTAAGTTAACATATCTTAATATATCAAATGATATATATTTATTATTATTAAATAAATAAAATTTATATATTATTTGTATTTTAATATTACTGATAAATTAATATCAATAATATTTTTAGTATATTTATAGATAAACTAATAATTTGATAAGTATGACTTCGTATATATTAATATGATTTTGCAAAAATATAAATATATAGCAAAAGATATGTATATTTCTAATTAGTATACTTATATTTTTTGTAAAAGTATATTAATATATAATAAATTATATTTATTAAATTATTAGTTTATCTATAAATATACTAATAATATTATTGATATTAATTTATCAGTAATATTATAAAAATAATAATATATAAATTTTATTTATTTAATAATAATAAATATATATCATTTGATACTTAGAATATTGTATATATATATATATATATATTAAAATTATTAATTTTTTAATGAGGAAGACTAAAATCGCACAACTATAGATTGAAGGATTGGAATCGCATAATTATAATCTTTTAAGGATTAAAATTACCTAATTAAAATTTTGGAGATCAAAATTTCCCAATTGCAATACTTGATGGATCAAAATAAAATAGATAAAATATTAAAATGAATTAAAAAATAAAATAAATGATCAAAAAGTATAATTTAACTTTTTTTTTAATGAAAAAGTGGAATAGAACCATGTGTCAATAATATCTAAACTTTGATTTGCAAGAGGGTATAGTTCAATTTGTTAAGCAAAGTGTATTGAACAACATGAGGGTTTAATTGAGTTAGTTAAGCAAGAGTGTTAGTTGTTGTAAATTGGTTTAAGTTGTTGTAAATTGGTTGAACAATATATGTGAGTTATTAACTTTTTTCGGTGTTCGAGTTTGATTCTCACAAGTGAAAAAAAAAAAAAAAAAAAAATTGTAGGAAAGATTAGAGATTAATATATTGAGCTACTAGCCCATGAGTTCCTCATGGATCATAAACAACTCCTTGTTACTATCAATGAGTTTGATTCGTTTGCATTTTCTATTTTCGTGAAAGATAATATTATATTTTTTTTATCATGGTAAAGCTTTTCTCCCAATTTGGGTAAGTTAAATTCCTATCTCTATGGGAATAATTTTCTGGGAAATGTAATTTTCCAAAAATTTGTTTATTCAAAAATATTGGTTTTAAATAATAAATTAAATATGAGAAAAAAATATTTTTAACTTAAAATTCTTGATAAACTAAAACTTTCTCTTATTCCAAAAATTTCTTAGTGTAACTATCCAATTGTGCTAACTACAATCCTTATAACTGAGGTCATACGAGACTAACAGAGAAAGATTTAGGTCTCATGATCTTAAGCAGCACACTTGCTAGTTTAGAATTTCAAGGTAATCTATATTCTTCAAAAATGACTTGCTTTTTAAAAAAGAAATGTTATGTTTTCTTAAAATATCAATCCATTAGTCTATGTCTCTCTCATTGAGGAATGAAAAAGTGAAAAAACAGTTTGGATTAAAATTATACTTTTAAAGTTGTCTGTCTTCTTAAGCAATTAATTAAAAACATTGTATTTTTTTAATCAAAAGGATTAAATATTTCTCTTATCTTTCTGTATATAGAAGGATTTCAATATATGATTTCACACAAATTATTTAAATTTCTGAGTACCTTCCGGGTGAAATTATTGACATTTTAATGTTTACTTACAGTTAACATTTTTATATTATTTTAAACCTAATTTTTTTAAAATTATCTTTAACCATTTTTTTAAATAAAATTTAAAATCATTTAAGCTAATTTATTTTATATGACTTTTATAAATTTGAAAATAAATAAAATGAGCACAGATACATTTTAATATGTCTAATAAATTAATATTGTATATAATTCCTACAAAGGAGGACATACTTTTTTATTAAAAAAATACTTTTTATTGCTACAAAACTTACACCGAGAAAAAAAATACTTTATTTATAAAATACTGGCTATATATTTTAAAAATAAAAACATAATTAATTTAAAATATAAAGGAGGACATTTATATCTTTTTAGTTTATATAACTTATTTTCTATTTGGGTTTTGAAATATTTTAAATGTTGAATTAAATTATTTAATTTATACTAACTATTTGAACTCAAATATAAAATATGTTTGCATCTCAAAGTTTTGTTATATTTTTTTTATCTATCATAGTTGCATTGCTGATACTATGATTTGAGCTTGCGATCTTTTACATACTACAATTTTTTACCAAGATCTTAGTGGTTCAAAGTTTTATTATATTCCAGTATAATGTAATATATTATATGGATTATTAAAAAATAGAGAATATTCTTTCCATCAAATAAATATTTAAATTATATTTGTATTCTTATTTTGAAAATTAAGGAAATAAAATATATTGGAAAGTTTACTCTAATTTTAACCAAGTTCTTTATGAAATTTCTATTTGAAAGAACCGACTCTTACCAAGGTTATACATGTAATACGAGAAATTGTGTAACTTGATTCCTACTTTTTTTTACCCATCGTAATTACTTTTTAATACAAAACTAGGATTTTAAAAATAATCCAAAGATCTAAAAAAAAGTGAGAAGAATTTGAGTTCTCAAGGGAAGTGGTGGTTGCCATATACACAACAGATACAACGTGTTGGTATATATTAAAAAAAAAAAAGGTGTAATTATAGGTTATAATGACATAAAATGAGTTGTTGAATCTCAATTAAAATCAACATTAAAATTGTATGTAGTCATATATCAAATATATTTATACTTACATATATTATATTTATAATGAAATTTTTTGTATGTTATTATATGTAAATTTATTGTAGTATAATAATATATTAATGTTTTAGAAAAATGGAATTTTCTATTAATAATATATATATATATATATAAAACATGTTTATATGACACACTAATATCTATCTGTTTTTTGATAATCATGGTAAAAATATTTATCATCAGAAGTAGTAATTAATCTCCATTAAAAAATCGTGAATACACATAAAATAAGTATATTTCTCTTTCAACATAATCTATTTTATAATTAAAATTAGGATTCAAATTTTAGACAATTCATAAGAAAAACATAAAACCACTTTCACTTGTGTAAACTTTGAGAGTGAAACAAGCATGTTTGGACCACAAAGCTCAATCTATTGAAAATTGATTTCTTAAAAATAAAACCCACACCATCTTGTTTGGGCCTCGAGTTGGACGTACCAAATTCAGGTTAGAGTGGGTGGGTTATTTTAGGTTTGGGCCATTGTTAGACCAAATCATTTTTTTTCCAAAATAATTTATTTATTTTGTAATTATTCTTTTACATTAATGGATAAAACTGAAACTCTTATCGTATTGGACTGTTTAAATTACATTTTTATAGTCTATAACAAGTGTTTCAAAGACCCTGCACTAAAGCAAGTGTTGCACAAGGTTCTTACAAGTCCAGGATTTGCAAAAAAAACTAATCTCCCATGAATAATAATAAACTCACAATAACAGTAAGGTTCACAGCTCCAAACTTGTTCATCATCCTAATCTAGAATGTTTGCTATTAATTAATTAAAGAGAATTATAATTCCATGCAATAACTAAGGCCAGTTTTTTTTTTTTTATTATTAAATTAGAGTGTAACCTTGAACGAAATTAGAGTGTATACTGATTAAAACTAATTATTTTAGTAATTAATTAAATGACTTGATGGCAACCGCACGTGTTTGTGAATAAGTCTTACATGCCTACGCTTATTTAATTTTAGTAACTTTCTTTACTAAACTTATTAAAATTTACGATACATAAAGTTACTATTGCTTTTAATTGCCAATTATTGCATGATATAATAATTCAATCTTGTGTATTAATAATCAATGGGGAATGGGTACTCCATACATAGTGATCAATCTCTAGTGAAGAGGATGACCCGAAATGGAGCATCTGAGTGTACTTGAAGGAAGAATCTCAACTCAATACGTAGATCAAAAGAAAAATTATAAATACATCAACTTTCAAAGAAACAGACCATATATGGAGCTTTGAAAT